TTTTTTTTAAGTTGTATGTAGCATTTACTTGGATATTAAGCGCAATTAGGGTATTTGATTGCACGCTTTATGTTAAAAGGAGACAAAAGTTTGAGTCTTCATTGATTTCAGTAACTACCACACGCGCACCTTTATGAGCAAATCTGCTTCCGCGTAGACGAGGTATATGCCAGATAAGCAAACCTAGAGAAGAAAATTAGCATTGAGAATGAGATGAATGTTCATTGTAACATTGCTCCTTTGCCGCTCTTTGTCATGTGTTCTTATTCACTCCTCGGTTATTCATCAAACTATCAGATAGATTTTGTGAGACTGTTTCTACAGTGAGCCTTCGATCATACTTGCTTTATATACATATTCAGGTCTTCTACTGGGATCCCATGTGCGGAACATGCTATGAGGAATGCAACGGTATAAAATTACGGCTTTCATTCATTGATAAGAATTTCTGATTACAGAGAATCAGTACAAGGAATGCAGTGGTCGATATACAGTTTACGATTTTCTTGGCACTCATACTCGTTACTACGGGAAGAAATTCAGCGACTGGGGAAAAGCTGGATGTCCCAAGGACGACTGATTCATGATTCTAAAAAGAATAAACTCTTGCATCTGCTAACTATATCTACCATTCAACACATCAAGTAGACGTTTAAATATCATCGTACAAAAGGAGATGTAGCTTGGCGTCTTCCAAATGCAACTCTAATAGTAGCAAAAGGCCAGGGACGATGGTGTCTATTGAGCACGCTTATGTGTGTCCCTTTAGCAATCTTGTCCCCTTTGCTGTTTTTGTTGCCATCAAAAATTTTTTACCCGTATACACCACTTATGCAATCACAGCGTTCAACGCATATCTGTGTGTAGCCATACGAGGTACCTGTCAAGTGCCAAACTAAATGCGATGCGAAGTTTTTGAAGGTTCAGAACCAGATAGAGTAAATTACAAAGGTTACAGCAAATAGAATAGTTGTTGCTTTTATCAATATCTTTTACTAAGTATAAGGTAAATGAGAAGTGAACAGAAAGGTAAGACAGTGGCAAGGTCACCGTGGAACTTATTGTTCGCATGCGTGCATTCGATGTGATTTTAATTAAATCCATTCTTGAACCAAGCGGACGAATCGCACGAAACCCAAATACGAACTAAAGCAACGAGATCAGTGGCCATGAAAGCAACGTTTTCGCAGCTTCTCCAATTTAATCTCTGAATATGATCATTGTCGAATTATCTTAGCTTGAAACTGATCACTACCAAAGCACGCTTTCAAGGAAATCTGGACACATGGGCTTACGTAAAAACTGATTTTGGGAGCCGAACTAAGCTGCTCAAGCGGCAGTGCAGCTAACGACCTCGCTTCTGGAATATTCTTTCTCAAACAAGATCTCGTCACCGTATTTGATGGACGACTTGCATCGGTTGCCTGTAATGCTGGGACCCAGGGTCGAGCAAGGGGTCAGGCGCAAGTCCTTCGAA